CTACCATAAATATTCCTAGTTTAAATCCTAACTGCTCCCTCCACTGCGTTGCCCGTGCTCCACCCCCCCACCTAATAAGTGAACCCCCCCCTAGCAAAAAGTCATTTCTCCATAGAAGGGTCCCCTTTTTTCAATGAATGTTACTGCATTTTCCCCTTTCGTATTTTTTCCAGCCACAATTTACACCAATTGCCCTGGACAACCCTTCATTTTCCAACTCCCCCCCTTGGCAAATACCACATATGAGAGGGTTTTCCCCCCCTTACTTCTAATTATTTCATTGCGACCTATACCTGCTAATCAGGTCCCCACTCCTATCTGCCCCAAAATGTTGCCTCCAGCATGAGACAGATAAAAGGATTGCTCCCATTAACCCCTTAGATGTCATCCAACGGCAAAAATATCCTCCATCCCACCCCAGGAAAGCAAACCTTGTCTCCTAACCTGTCCTTCAAGCAGAAAAGCCCTATCCATAACCTAACTTGGGTATCCCCCAAAAACAACAATTTCTTACCCTTTCCTTTAAAGCTTTCGTCGTCTCTTCCCAGTAGCACTCACATTCGTCGGGTAGCACGAGAATGTATTGGATGTTTTCCCCCCAAAAGTTTTCCCCGGGATCTCTTTTTTTCTTTTTTCGTTTCTACCCCTTTTCCCTTCATCTTCTTGATCGTCAACTTCTTTTCCCCCGCTGCCCCCCAAACCATTTCCCCTTTGACCTGAGGACTCAAAACAGGAGGGCGTACGAATCTTCTTTTTTTCCCCGGTCAGTCGCCCAATTTCATATTCGCCAACCCCAATTTTCCTTAAGCTGTGGTAAAGTTGCTCATGGGCACTTTCTTTAATTCTAGAGAGCGCGCAAAACAGGTCTTTACAAGCCAGGTAACGTCAACAGTACACCCCTTTTTCCCAACACCAAGGACTGTCAATATAGAACATGCCCCTTCGGTTTGGGAAAAAGATGAAAAGGTCTTGGGGAATATGCCAAATGTTTCAGTTTATTTGAAACATTTACGTAATGACATCCACGTGGGGCGAAAATTCCAAACATTAACATCAGTTTTTCGTAGGTTTACGCTCGCATGGGCTCATGCCAAGCCGAAAAAATGCTTCCCCTTGGGTATAACAAGATTAGAATGTTAGGGAAGACACATGAAACAGTTAGGGATTTTTTTTCGAAACGTTTCGCCTAAACAGTAGGCTTTTTCGTCGAGTACAGAAAAGTTGACAGAAGCAGAAAATACTGAAGACGATGAATCAGTCCCTTCGCCTTAAAGTTTTGAGGGGGCAGCCCAGTCGGAGAAGAGCATTGTTTCCATATATAAACAATATAAAGTACCTAACTGTTGCATATGGTTTTACCTAACAACCTGTCGGTATTTATCCATTTTAAAGTTCAATCTGTCAGAAAACGAACACAAGGGGCCTTGGTACAGACCGCAACAACTTTGACAACCTCCATAGTGAAACGGCGGGTTTTAAGGGACCTGACCTCCCCAAAATCTGAGTTCTTTCCTTCTAGTGACCTACGCCCCCACCTCTTGGCGCTATATAAGGCTCCATCCTGTCACTTCATCTCCATATTGTTTCATACTATGGAACAATGCTCTTCTCCAGACTGAGGGACTGACCACCTCAAAACTTTAAGGGTGATGGACTGATTACATCGTATCTTCTGCTTCTATCAACTTTTCTGTACTCGACTGAAGAAGCCTACTGTGTAGGCGAAACGTTTCGAAATAAAGATACCTAACTGTTGCATATGTGTCTTACCTAACAACCTGTCGGTATTTTATACCATTTTAATGTTCAAGATTAGATATCTTGGACTGATACTTTCTAATAACACTCTGCAGCCTCTCCCCAGTAAGATCAAAGCTTTATTAGAATTTAAATTCCCCAAAACCAAGAAGCTCATGCGTAGCTTTTGGTTCTGTAAATTTTTATGCATGGTTTATCCCGAACCTTACTAGTCTTACAGGCATCTTATCCGACTTCCTTAAAAAGTCTGTGAAGGAACCTCTTGAACTTTCCGACGTAGCTCGGGAAAAGTTTAATGAGATTAAAAGTCTCTTTTCGAAAGACCCTATACTTAAGATTCCAGATATTAATAAAACATTTTGTTTAAGAACTGATGCCTCCAATACTGGCTTAGGTGCGGTGTTACTACAATACTATGATGGTACTCCCTTCCCTGTATGCTTCCTAAGCCGGAAACTCCTTCCCGCAGAAACGAGATACTCCACCATAGAAAAGGAATGTTTAGCCCTTGTGTGGGGTATCTCCAAACTTAAATTTTATTTGCTGGGAAAAGAATTCACTTTAGAAACGGACCACAAACCTTTGATATACCTAGAAACTTTTAAGGGAACCAACAGTCGCCTCTTGAGGTGGACATTGGCACTCCAGGCTTTTAAGTTCCATATTGTGTATATCAATGGTTCATCCAATTATTTCTCTGACTGGTTAAGTCGTGACAGTTAGTAGAAGATTTGTTGCCTTACGCGACTTCCACATGTTAGAACTTTTTTCTCACCTATTCTTCTTATACTCCTTGACTATAAGTCTTGGTAAGGGGGAGTGTGAGGGAAAAGTTCAATAGATAGGAGTAGCGAGGGAGTATATAGTAACAATAGTTTCATTGCCGGCTACTTGTTAAGGTAGGGTAAGTCAAGTTCCCGCCTTTTTCCCCCACCCCGAAAGCGATAGTTTGACTGCCGGCTGCTTGTTAAGGTAGAGTCAGTCTAGCTCCCGCTATCCCTTCCCTCCTCCTTCCCCCCCCCCCCAAAGGTGACTTGTGGGGCTCTGGTCCAATCAGTAATCACTAGACTCACAGCTCCCAGCACTACTGTAAGTACATGCCTGCCTTGTATTCTAGTGGATTTATGGGTTGAAAGCTTCACTTTTGACCAATAATAAACTTAGTCTTTTCAGCCTTGCTCTATGTTGACTGTTGTAATAATCACCACATCTTTTAGGTATTGTACTTATCATGGAGAGTGATTATTTAAGCAGTGGGTAACCTGTCTATATTTTCAGCTTGGATGACAGAGAGGGTCACCTGTCAATCAACGAGAAGAACTGGTGGAGATGGATTAACGTCCTGAGACTTCCCCTTTTTGGATTTAATTACCTGTGCACCTGTATGAAATTGCAGGACGTAACCCCTCATCATTGCAGCGGTAAAGAACCTGCTTTCCTGTCATCGGGATATAATACTCAAGGCTATACTGTGAAGAACTAGCCAGTGGGTCGTAACCAACACCTGCGACCCCTTCCCCCCATCATCAGCAACGGCTACGATTTCAACAACACAGTGTCACCAACACCAGACACCCCTATATATATTAGCGGTGAATTCAGTTATCATTTATATTTTTCATTTTTCATTTTCTTTAATGTAGGATTAATATTTCATATTTAAGTGTTTTATATTTTATATTTTATATATAATAAAGTGTTTATGTTTGTCTGTCATTATTTCTTTTTCTATTTATTAATTTTCCTGAGGAGGAGCCAGCCTGAGTAATACTGACTTAAGTTGTTACAGGGCTGAGTAAGCCTTCACATTGATGGTTGGGTAGGATTATACCTTCTGCAGGAGGATGGTTGGTTAGGATTATACCTTAAGGAAGATGATGGTTGGGCAGGATTATACCTTCAATAGGATGATGGTTGCATATAATAGAGCCTTCAGGAGGAGGATGGTTCCGTAGGATGGAACCTTGAGGAGGTTGATCGATGTAAAAGATGGAACTTTCCGGAGGATTATGGTTGAGTAGGATGGAACCTTAAGGATGATGATTCTTGAGTAGGATGGAGCCATCAGGATGATGACTCTTGAGTAGGATGGAGCCTTCAGGATGATGATTCTTGAGTAAGATGGAGCCTTCAGGAAGAGGATGCTTCAGTAAGATGAAACCCACAATGAAAAAACAAGCAGGAAAACCCGAGTACTTTCACGTGGTGACAGACATCTTCAGGGGATCAGGGAGAAGAGGCAAGAGAAGCGTATTTTATATGCTAGTATTTGAAGTGATACCTGACTTAGGTATCACACTAGTGAGGTGATACCTCACTCAGCTATCATACTAGTAATGTGATACCTGACTCAGCCATGATACTAGTGAGGTAATACCTGACTCAGCTATTATACTAGTGATTGATACCTGACTCAGGTATCATACTAGTGAGGTGACACCTGACTCAGGTATCATACCAATGAGGTGATACCTGACTCGGGTATCATACCTGACTCAGGTATCATAATATTGAGGTGATACCTGACTCAGGTATCATACCAATGAGGTGATACCTGACTCAGGTATCATACTAGTGAGGTGATACCTGACTCAGGTATCATAATATTGAGGTGATACCTGACTCAGGTATCTTACTAGTAAGGTGATACCTGTCTCAGGTATCATGCTAGTGATGTGATACCTAACTCAGGAGAAGCAGGTAGATAACCTGGTCACAAGCCATGTTTCTTGCTAGCCCAGTCACCCACAGATGCCACTAGAGGCTAGTTAACACACCAGTGAGCCTCAAGTGTGGCTAGCTTCTTATGGAATTTGTGGTTGAGTGCTTACTTGTAACTGTACAGGTTCAGGTAGTCAAGGTTAAGTGACTGCAGTCTGTGATTGACACATTATGTTGTGATGAACGACTCTGGATGAATAAACAGAACCGGAGTTCAGAGCTTAATAGCCAGCCAGCTGTGCAGTTGAGAACTGGACTTGTTAATCTCGGGACCAAGGTTCGAGCCCCCGTTATCCTTTCTATTTGTTTATCGTTCATCATTTATTACGATTTTAACTGAGTTAATGTTAGTAAATATTTAATAAGAACAAGAATAATTCAATAATTTCAAAGTCACAGGTGGAGTAATTTGTCAGCCAGAGATAAGTGAGTCACGTTATGAAAGTCACAATCGAGGTAACTATTATTGTGCAGGGAAATATCTTACCTGGAAAACAATAACTTGGACTGGAAACACTTACCAGGAATGGGTCAGCCTCGTTCACTTCGTTGTTGTCGATATGTTCGTCCTGGCTGCTGCACACCAGCTCACAGTCCTCACTCTTTACCACCAACTCTGATACATACAATACTGTCTCAGTGACATCCTGCATCATCACTCTCTCAGTGGCACACTTCATCAGCCCTGATATACAATACTATCTCAGTAACATCCTGCATCCTCACTCAGTCGTACTCTTCATCAGCTCTGATACGTACAATACTATCTCAGAAACATCCTACACTCTCACTCTCCCCAGTAACACTCTTTACCACCAACTGTGATACATACAATACTATCTCAGTAACATCCTACACTCTCACTCTCCCCAGTAACACTCTTTACCACCAACTGTGATACATACAATACTATCTCAGTAACATCCTACACTCTCACTCTCCCCAGTAACACTCTTTACCACCAACTGTGATACATACAATACTACTCAGTAAACATCCTACACTCTCACTCTCCCAGTAACACTCTTTACCACCAACTGTGATGCATACAATACTATCTCAGTAACGTCCTACACTCTCACTCTCCCCAGTAACACTCTTTACCACCAACTGTGATACATACAATACTATCTCAGTAACATCCTACACTCTCACTCTCCCCAGTAACACTCTTTACTACCAACTGTGATACATACAATACTATCTCAGTAACACCCCTACACTTCACTCTCCCCAGTAAACTCTTTACCACCAACTCTGATACGTACAATACTATCTCAGAAACATCCTACACTCTCACCTCCCCATTTAACACTCTTTACCACCAACTGTGATACATACAATACTATCTCAGTAACATCCTACACTCTCACTCTCCCCAGTAACACTCTTTACCACCAACTGTGATACATACAATACTATCTCAGTAACATCCTACACTCTCACTCTCCCCAGGTAACCACTTTTTACCACCAACTCTGATACGTACAATACTATCTCAGAAAATCCTACACTCTCACTCCCCCCAGTAACACTCTTTAACCACCAACTGTGATACATACAATACTATCTCATTTAACATCCTACACTCTCACTTCCCCATTTAACACTCTTTACCACCAACTCTGATACATACAATACTATCTCAGTAACATCCTACACTCTCACTCTCCCCAGTAACACTCTTTACCACCAACTCTGATACATACAATACTGTCTCAGTAACATCCTACATCCTCACTCCCCTTATCCGTCACTATCTTTTTAAAGAAAAATATCTCCATCTTTATGAAAAGAACATTAAAATCATTGATAACATATAGCAATATATGGTATTTTCTACTTAGTTTATTGCAGTTTAAAATCTGTTACCCTCCGTCCTCAGGCTGCAACCTTCAACTGTCTACACTCAAGTCACCTACTAACTGCTAGGCGAACATTGGTAACAAGTGTAAGATGCTAGGAACCCGTTACCGTCTTACAGCTAGATTAACAGTGGCAACATGTGTAATGTGCTAACACCCAGTCACCTACTTACTGATACAGGAACAGTGGCAACATGCATAAGGTACTAACACCTAGTCACTTGCTTACTGCTAGAGGAACAGTGGCAATATACCTAAGATACTAACACCTAGTCACCTACTTATCGCTAGAGGAACAGTAGCAACAGGTGTGAGGTGCTAACATCCAGTCTCCTGTGATTAAAATGGTATAATACAGACAAGTTGCCGAGTTAGACTCATGTGCAACAGTTAGGTGTCTTTATGGTCGACTGAAAAGACTCGCCTATGCAGTAAGCTTCTTCCGTCAAATACAGAAGAGATTAAATTGGAGACAGCAGGCGAAGTAACGAAGATGATGTAATCAGTCTACCAACCATGTATAACTACTTTTGGGGGTTGTCAGTCCCTCAGTCTGGAGAAGTGCTCAGCTTTATAATCTGGAACAATGAAAAGCTGCCGAAGGTGAGGCGTAGAGGTCTCCAAGACTTAGCAGGAGGCGGAGACCACTTGCAGTACTAAGAAAGCAAGAATTCGAGAAACTCTCCAGTAGGCTTGCAGGTTTATGCTTCATCATGCTTGTCTGACACAGCAACACAACGGTATCTTGGTAGTGAAAATATTCCACAGCTTTATTAACTACTAGTAATGACAAGAATGGTATACGACAACTTCTCTTCTTGTCTTTACTAGCAATGAGTGAGAAGAGTTGGAACCGAGAGAACCTGCTAGCATGGACCAGTAGACTCGCTGCAGTACTTCCCAAATTATTGCACTCTTACTTCTACTAGTGATCCCCGCCTCCTACTACAAGGTATTTAAAACTCAGGACAATGTGATCACTAGTCTCGAAGGGCCTTTCATGTGAAATATCCCCAATGTCAGAATTATTCAAGGTGAATATGAGGTCCAGCCTCTTTGGTTCATTCTCTTCTCTCTATTTCTAGTTGTGTCTCTAACATGCTGGTGCATGATATTTTCTAGTACCATCCCCAGCATCTTAGCCCTCTACTTGTCTGGTCTCACATGTGGCCCCAGGTTTTCTTTGCCAAATCTTCTTGTAGTTAAAGTTCCCCCATGATGAGTAATTTTGCACTGCCGATGTGTGCCCTTCTGGCCACCTCAGCTAGTGTATCCACCATTGCTTTGTTGTTCTCATTGTTCTCTTGTCTTGATCTCTTGCAGTTCAGTGGCAGGTTGTACATCACTGCTATCAACATCCTGGGATCCCCAGTCTGAAATGTTCCTGCTATGTAGTCATCTGCTTCCTCTCTCACCAGTCCTCCCTTCCCCTCAGAACCCACTGGTTTCTGATGAGTAGTGCAACTCCTCCTTTCCCTCTGTTCCATCTATCTTTACTCAGGATCTGATAATCAGTTAGAAAAATCGCATCTATCATCATCTCTAAGCTTTTTCTCTGAGAGTGCTATGATGTCTGGGGATGCCTCCATGATTCGTTCATGCTACTCCTCGCTCTTGTTAGTTATTGGAATTGTGTTGAGGTACCATACCTTCAGCTACTTTTCCAATGTTTAGTCTGGGTTGTAGGTTCTTGTGTCCCTGGTCTTTACCCATGGGTCTGGGAGGGGGAAGTTAGTGAGGGTTATGTGTACACAAAGGCAGGGTTTGATTTTATGTGAGGCTCCTGTGAGGGTTGTATTTGCGCTTGGGGGTGGTGAAGTGGGGACTGTTAGTGTGAAGTGTGGTTTGTTTTGGGTTATTGAGTGAAGCTGGGAGGGAGGCAAGGGGTTCAGGGTAGGTAGGCTCCCCAAGCTGAGCTTTCATGCCTGTTCTCGATGCATACCCTGTCTCGCTTCTGCCTCAGTTGCTTCCATTTCCTTCTTATTCTGTAGCAGTCGAGGTAAACACGCTTGTATTTTTACGAGGACCTTAACTGTGGTTTCTGCTGTATGACCTTGTTTTGTACTATTTCTGTCGTGAATGTCAATTTGACTGGGCGGATTTTCCCTCAAATACCACAAATCTCTGATTATTTGTCACCTGCGACATGTCCTTTTCTTCTGTTATTCTGAATATATTTTTAATTTCGGTTTCACCCTGCCAGTCGTCTTTCATTATAAGTCCTTCCTTCAGCCTCAAGCCCATGAATGATCAGTGACCTCTCCCTCCCGTCTTCTTATTTACATGCTTACTGAATCTCTGTATCAGACTCCATCAGCTCCTTTGCTGTTCCCGTATCATCTCCTGGTGACCTGATACCATTTCTGCAAACTACTCCTTAGCTCCTTTCCTTCTATCAGCCCCCTTGCTGATGTTCCTGTTCCCATCTCCTTGCCCCTTTTGGTCCTTGTCTCCATTTCTCAGTTCATCTCCTTCAGTTCCTCCTCCAGGATTTGTATCTGCCTCAGCAACTGTAGTTCGTTTCTCTTATTTTTTGCTCTCAGCAGACAACCACTTCTCCACTCTCTGTAAAACTCGTTAAGCCTTTTTTTTCCCACTCTTGTTCCTTCGTGATCGTGAGATGTGTGTGTGTGTGTGTGTGTGTGTTTTATTTGTTGTCTCTATTTGTGGTTGTTCGTTCAATTTTGTTCATATATTTCCTAGGCTCCTGGCCAGTTCTTCAACGTTTGCTACTGAGTCCCTCTCTTTCCCTCTCCATGAGTATATCAAATACAGTCTTAAACACTCCTTTGGTTTCCTGCCTCTACACTACATCATTTTCTAGTCTCTCACTTGTCTTAAAGCTCTATTGTTGTCTGAGTTATTACCGTTCTCTATCCATCCTTTACCTTTGATGTCTTCAACTCTTGTGGCTCTTGTTTCTGTCATCCCGTCCTGGAATACTTCTGTCACATTGTTCCACTGTCCATTCCACGCGGGATAGTGGATTTATTGTCTATCTTTTCTCCTTCCTCGACCCTTGTCTCGATGATTCCTCAGCGATTCCCCTTCCATCCCCTTTTCATAGATTCCCCTTGCTCTGAATTCATACCTAGTAGACAACCTTACTGTACTTCTCTACTAGTTTCTGTGACGTGCTTATAAGTGCGGGGTTCCGAAACAGGTGCTGATACTCCGTATGGGTCCTGGACATACACGGTGTACAGTGTCTTGAATGATTCCTTACTAAGGTGTCGGAATGCTGTTCTCAGGTTTGCCAGGCGCCCATATGTCTGCAGCAGTTATCTGATTGATGTGTGCTTCGGAGACATGCTCGGTGTTATACTCACCCCAAGATCTTTCTCCTTGAGTGAGGTTTGCAGTCTTTGGCCACCTAGCCTATACTCTGTCTGTGGTCTTCTGTGCCCTTCCCCTATCTTCATGACTTTGCATTTGGCAGGGTTGAATTCGAGAAGCCATTTGCTGGACCAGGTGTCAGTCTGTCCAGGTCTCTTTGAAGTCCTGCCTGGTCCTCATCAGATTTAATTCTCCTCATTAACTTCACATCATCTGCAAACAGGGACACTTCTGAGTCTAACCCTTCCGTCATGTCGTTCACATATACCAAAAATAGCACTGGTCCTAGGACCGACCCCTGTGGGACCCGCTCGTCACAGGTGCCCACTGTGATACATCATTACGTACCATGACTCGTTGTTGCCTTCCTGTCAGGTATTCTCTGATCCATTGCAGTGCCCTTCCTGTTATATGCGCCTGATGCTCTAGCTTCTGCACTAATCTCTTGTGAGGAACTGTGTCAAAGGCCTTCTTGCAGTCCAAGAAGATGCAATCAACCCACCCCTCTCTCTCTTGTCTTACTTCTGTTATTTTATCATAAAACTCCAGAAGGTTTGTGACACAGGATTTGCCTTCCGTGTGTGTGTGTGTGTGTGTGTGTGTGTGTGTGTGTGTGTCTGTTTATTTGCATGCGCATATTGTCTTCGTTTTCAATTTTTTATTGTTGCATTATATACTTCCATTATTAGTTTTGTCTCTCTGGACATTACAGTATTTTCAACTTTTTCCTGAACCTCCCGAGTCCCTGTCTCATAGTTCCTCAAATCTCCAATGATGTATAACTATTAATACAATCCCAAACACTCCTTTGTTTCCCCATTTCGTATCTTACTAACATCAATTTTTGTTTCTTGTCTCTCATCTTGTCTGGTGAAGGTAGCTCTCTCACCCTTTGTTTCGTCTGGGTTATTTACCGTGTCTGCTTTATCCATCCTCCTGACCTGTTAAGCGTATGTTGGCTGTCAGTCTCTTGTGATGTCTTGTATCATGTCACTCACCGTCTCTGGAATACTTCTATCTCATCGATTAGTTATCCTGTCCACTTCCTATCCTGTCGGGATAGTTGGGATTTTCTTGTCTATCTCTTTTTCCTTTGCCTCGACATTGCTTGATTGAAATTCCTCAGTCAATTCCCTCTTTCCGCCATCGGCCATTTTCTTAGATGTCCTCAATCTTGCTGTCTTGATCTTCAATAGCCATACAAGTTAAGAACACACCTCTACTATTCTCTTACCTATACTAGTTTCTCAGCAAATGCACCAGAAGTGGGCATAGGAAAGAGCGTGGCAGGAGTCTCACTGACTAACACGACTGACTCACCTAATGGGTTCAAGTTGGATAACTCGAGAATGTTAAGGCTGCCTCTCTATCCAGTGATCCACTGCCTATCTGTCGCCCTTTTGTACATTACATTATCATGATGTAAACACAGCAAGTGACCCGTTTTTTTTTTATGCTCATCTACATCTGCCTTACAATGCTCTACGACTGGGTTCAGCTCTGGCTCTTTCTTTACGGCTCAAAACGTTTCTTTCCAGAGCTATTCGTCGTCTGTTCCCACTTCCCTGCTCAACACTTGTGGGTCTCACCTGCGAGTCATTCATTTCAGTTGAGGGAAGTACTGGATCAGCAAGAGACAGCTGTAAATGAGTAAAACAAAGTCCAAGTGTCATCGAAGCGAGAATCTTGGATAGCTTTAAAAATAGGCCGGGAATGTTCATGAGTTGGTGTGGATGGGTTGGGTCTGTGCTCCAGTTCCCTGAATTTAGCCCGAATACCTTCCAATCCTTCCCCCCCCCCTCCGGTAAGTGCGCTATATAATCCCTTGGGTTCAGCGCTCTCCCATGATTATAATAATAATAATAATAATAATCACCATATTCATCACTAACGTCAATGGGGTTTGGACCCTAAAAAATCAGCGTGAGAATGACAGAAATGATGACTCTTGAAGAACATCAGACATCCCAGCAGATATGATTAGAAATCTTCCTGAGCATTAGAAATCTTCCTTATGAAGAAAGATTGAAGACTCTTAAGTTACATTCACTTGTTAGACGAAGAATGAGGGGAGACCTGATCGAAGTGTATAAGTGGAAGATAGGTATTAATAAAGGGGATATTAACAAGGTCTTGAGAATATCTCTCCAAGAGAGAACCCGCAGTAATGGATTTAAATTAGATAAGCTTAGATTTAGAAAGGACATAGGAAAGTATTGGTTTGGAAATAGGGTAGTTGATGAGTGGAACAGTCTACCTAGTTGGGTTATTGAGGCTGGGACTTTGGGTAGTTTCAAATTTAGGTTGGATAAGTACATGAGTGGGATGGGTTGGATTTGAGAGGGACTTGCACATCAGAGCTTATTTCTTGGGCAGCATTGAAAATTGGGTTGGGCAAATGTTTGTTAGTGGGATGAATTGTAAGGACCTGCCTAGTATGGGCCAACAGGTCTGCTGCAGTGTTCCTCCTTTCTTATGTTCTTATGTTCTTATTCCAGTTGCCCTTGTATAGTATATATGTGATCATTACTGTAATGACAGCACAATCAACCAGCGCAAGAGCTCTTGAACGCCATCCTTTCTCTCAGCTCAGCATTTTGGGGAGATTTACCTCAAAATCAAGCACATTCAGTTACATCCGAATTTGAGGTCCGATGAAGAGATCTTCCTTCAGTGTGGCCACACTCTGGGGAACCTGCTCTTCTGACAGGCAAATCCTGTACTATGTCCAAAGCTCTGACGAAATTTTTCAGTGAGGCCTATGGTGATGTGTAAGGGTGGAAGAAGACTGTCCTCTGGATCGGCTAATAGCCTGAGTTGAAGGTTCTTCATCCTCTTTTACTTCATACGATTCTCTAGTTGGCCACGTACGTTGAATGTATTGTTGTTTTGTAGTCCGGTTGTTCCACAATCACAAGAAACAGCAATGCTTTGTAAATCCACCTTCCTGGCCGAGAAACAATCCTTGTACATTTCCATTTTCCACCAAACTTCTTATATTCGATCAGACTGACATTTTTTGAGTTGTTTCTTACACTTCTTTCAAGTCTTTAGCGACACCTAAGGGACGACTTAGTAGTGTGTTGTTGTTGTTGTTGTGAAGTAAGACTGCTTTCTCACTTGTTTTTCTGGAACCAATCAATAATCGCCAAAGCATGTAAAAGTCCATTAACATCCCAACAGTATCATATTGATTTTTCAAATTTAAATTTTCTAGGTTTTTCTGTAGCAGTAAATTTCACTTGCACAGTCTTGAATGAAGTAGCTTTACTGTCCCTGATATAAATTAAGTTCGCACACAAAATCGTTAAGGACGCTTTGAGTCACTAGATGTAGTTTCTGTTTGTTGACGCAGCAGTGTCAAACTTGGACAAGTGTTGAAGAATTCCTTGTATCAAGTTCCCATGATGTTGCAGTGTCTGACAGATGTGAAAAATGGTTTGAAAACAGACAAGTTGAAGATTGTAACACTTATGCAACATATGGGAATCCTTATGTGTAGCCAAACCAAATTTATCTTTACAGGATGGTGCTACTGGAACGTGAAGACCCTCTGAATGTCCCACTGGTCTGACTGCCAAAGAAAGATCTGGATATGTTGTTTTCGATTTGTGTTTTGGTAAGAGTTCGATCACTCTCATGATACAGATATACCAATCTACAATGTTATCTTTGGTTCCGTCAGTACCATGGGAGGTGGAGCAAGTCAGCAACAGAAATGAGTGTATACAGTTTGCCCTCATCTCCGACACCGGATGTTTTCAAATGAGGCACAATGTTTGGTCTCTGTTTTTTCCGAGTAAAGCTGCCACATAGTAACCATCAGGCATTATAAGTTTAAAAATTAACAGTTAAAAATACCACTTACTTCGATATAGGAAATTATAAATAAAACAATCTCAAACACCCACAAAATACAAATAAAACCATAAATCAGCGTCCGAAAAATGGCCAAGAACTTAGTAGACACTAATATAGACCAGAAGTAATCGGGGAGAGGGTTGTTGATCTAATTCACAGAAACTGTGCGTGCTGGAGCAAAATTAACTCCAAAATTGAATTCAGCATCACTAAATTAATTAGAAATACTTGTTTTGAACGTGAGTTTTGTTGGCCATGACTCGTCCACACGGCCTTAGAATTACACTGATCAGGCGATATATACTCTGGGATACTTTCTGTATAAATCTTACCTGGTGTTAGTATATTAGCACTCACCTTGTGCAGCCACCAGGTCAGGCGCGAGTACAACCCCACGAGTACACTGACGACGGGTAATGAAGACAGCAGCAGCAACTAGGAGGAGGACAGTTCCTACAGCACCCAAGAACATACCAAGTATTGGAGACACAGCCCCGGTAGCAGTCTCCTGCGGCTCTGACTGACTGCTCGATACACCGGAGACTGACACCAAGGGAGGACAACACCGTTAATCACCTATTTACTTTAAAGAATAATATCTAGAAGCTACATAACTAGAAAATAATTATAAACTTGTTTAAAAGATATATTAAATAACTATCAACTTAATAAATAAATTATTAACCCATATATTTTTGATAATTAACAAATGAAAATAGCAATGAAATAGATGGAACAACTCACAATTATATGCAAAAACACCCACAGGGGGAGTTGAATAATATATCATTCAACTCCCCCTGTGGGTGTTCTGCATATTGTATCCTTGTTCGTGATATTTGCATAATAGGAATACCAATTACAATTACAGAAATAATTCACTCCGAATTATGGGTTAGTGACTCCTTACAAAAATAAATAAAACCATAGCAACAACCGACTCAAAATTGAACTGAAACAAGACGAATTGATAATTGATCAGAATTAACCAAAATTTCTAGTTTGCTCTCAGATTTATGGCTAATTATAAATCCTATTTGATTACTACGAATGGAAATAATCACATGAACTAAATTCGTAAGTCGTATTTCGTATATTAGTGAGAAATATTATTTTCAAATGATATACAAGAAATATTGTACAATCTTGCATCACATCTTAATACAAAGAATTACAGGGGACGTTGGGGAATAATAACTTAATGGGTGTTGTTTGGTGAGTACCTTGTCGTTGATACAATTGATAATGATCGAAACCAATTGACACGATTGCAAAAAACGTACAACGGGTAGGGTTAGAACTCGCGATAGTCAAAAACTCAGACGACGCGTATACTGACCACTAGCTACACAACAGATTCAGCTAAGTATATTCTACACATAAGAAGTTAGCATAGGACCAACTCGGACTGAGGCTTCATGACTCTCTGATTCGCGCAACTAAATTTGTAATGCTGGTGGCTGTGGATACATGCAGACCACTAGTCTTGATAATGCTGGTGGTTGGATACATGCAGACACTAGTGATAATGTGTGCTGTGATACATGACAGACCACTAGTCTGATAATGTGGTGCGTGATACATGAAAGAAAATAGTTTGATATGCTGGTGGCTTGATAACATGACCACTAGTCTATAATGTGGTGGCTGTGGTAATCATGCAGCCACTAGACTTGACTGGTGGCTGTGGATACAAGGACCACTAGTTTGAAATGCTGGTGGTGTGGATACATGCAGACCAACTAGTCTTGTAATGTGGTGGCTGGATCAGCAGCCCACAGTCTTGATATGCGGGTGGCTGTGGATACATGCAGAAACTGATCTTGATAATGCTGGTGCGTGGATACATGCAGCCACTATCTTGATAACTGTGGGTGTGGGTTACAGCAGGCCACTGCTTGATATGTGGTGGCTGTGATACAAGAGGCCACTTCCTGATAATGCTGGTAGCGTGGATCAGCAGGCCACTAGTCTTGATAATGCTGTCGGCTGTGATACATTGCAGACCACATAGTTGTAATGCTGGTGCTGGATAAAAAGCAGGCACTAGTCTTGATAATGCTGGTGGCTTGGATACAGCAGACCACTAGTCTTGATAATGCTGGTGGCTGTGGATACAAGCAGACCACTAGTCTTGATAATGCTGGTGGCTGTGGATACAAGCAGACCACTAGTCTTGATAATGCTGGTGGCTGTGGATACATGCAGGCCACTAGTCTTGATAATGCTGGTGGCTGTGGATAAAATGCAGGCCACTAGTCTTGATAATGCTGGTGGCTGTGGATATAGCAGCCACTAGTCTTGATAATGCTGGTGGCTGTGGATACAAGCAGGCCACTAGTCTTGATAATGCTGGTAGCTGTGGATACATGCAGACCACTAGTCTTGATAATGCTGGTGGCTCTGGATACAAGCAGACCACTAGTCTTGATAATGCTGGTGGCTGTGGATACAAGCAGGCCACTAGTCTTGATAATGCTGGTGGCTGTGGATACAAGCAGGATTCTAGTCTTGATAATGCTGGTGGCTGTGTATACATGCAGACCACTAGTCTTGATAATGCTGGTGGCTGTGGATACATGCAGACCACTAGTCTTGATAATGCTGGTGGCTGTGGATACAAGCAGACCACTAGTCTTGATAATGCTGGTGGCTGTGGATACAAGCAGACCACTAGTCTTGATAATGCTGGTGGCTGTGGATACAAGCAGACCACTAGTCTTGATAATGCTGGTGGCTGTGGATACAAGCAGACCACTAGTCTTGATAATGCTGGTAGCTGTGGATACATGCAGACCACTAGTCTTGATAATGCTGGTGGCTGTGGATACAAGCAGCCCACTAGTCTTGATAATGCTGGTGGCTGTGGATACAAGCAGGCCACTAGTCTTGATAATGCTGGTGGCTGTGGATACAAGCAGACCACTAGTCTTGATAATGCTGGTGGCTGTGGATACAAGCAGGCCACTAGTCTTGATAATGCTGGTGGCTGTGGATACAAGCAGGCCACTAGTCTTGATAATGCTGGTGGCTGTGGATATAAGCAGGCCACTAGTCTTGATAATGCTGGTGGCTGTGGATACAAGCAGGCCACTAGTCTTGATAATGCTGGTGCTGTGGATACAGCAGCCACTAGTCTTGATAATGCTGGTGGCTGTGGATACAAGCAGACCACTAGTCTTGATAATGCTGGTGGCTGTGGATACAAGCAGGCCACTAGTCTTGATAATGCTGGTGGCTGTGGATACAAGCAGGATTCTAGTCTTGATAATGCTGGTGGCTGTGTATACATGCAGACCACTAGTCTTGATAATGCTGGTGGCTGTGGATACATGCAGACCACTAGTCTTGATAATGCTGGTGGCTGTGGATACAAGCAGACCACTAGTCTTGATAATGCTGGTGGCTGTGGATACAAGCAGACCACTAGTCTTGATATGCTGGTGGCTGTGGATACAAGCAGACCACTAGTCTTGATAATGCTGGTGGCTGTGGATACAAGCAGCCACTAGTCTTGATAATGCTGGTGGCTGTGGATACAAGCAGGACTTACTAGTCTTGATAATGCTGGTGGCTGTGTATACAAGCAGACCACTAGTCTTGATAATGCTGGTGGCTGTGGATACATGCAGACCACTAGTCTTGATAATGCTGGTGGCTGTGGATACAAGCAGACCACTAGTCTTGATAATGCTGGTGGCTGTGGATACAAGCAGACCACTAGTCTTGATAATGCTGGTGGCTGTGGATACATGCAGACCACTAGTCTTGATAATGCTGGTAGCTGTGGATACATGCAGACCACTAGTCTTGATAATGCTGGTGGCTGTGGATACAAGCAGACCACTAGACTTGATAATGCTTGTGGCTGTGGATACAAGCAGACCACTAGTCTTGATAATGCTGGTGGCTGTGGATACAAGCAGACCACTAGTCTTGATAATGCTGGTGGCTGTGGATACAAGCAGACCACTAGACTTGATAATGCTGGTGGCTGTGGATACAAGCAGACCACTAGTCTTGATAATGCTGGTGGCTGTGGATACAAGCAGCCCTACTAGGACTGTGACGATAACCGAGTCTGGGCCAACTGGAAGTACTTTATCTACTGTCTCAAGATACTCCAGACCTGACACTAACTAAACCTCGCCCTCACGCATTCTGCCTCTATTCCGACACTGACACAACACACAACTGCTTGTGTCGCTGCGTTCGACTACAAGACAATTTAGAGACTTGGTTTACCGTCATCACTGATACGACTAACAATGATGCTGGAGCTGAGCTTCAGGAACCACTTTAATAAGTCTCTCCAGGAAGAAGGTTTCAAGATCTCTCTCAGTTTATGTTGCAAAGTTTGTTATTGATTCTCAAACTTGTCAGAATTTTCTTTTTCTTAGTCCCAATATGAAGATCTACGTTCGTATTTTTTTCACAACAGTTCGCTCTATTTGCTGTTGAACGAAGTTGAAAACGAAACAGCCACTTGGAAATCCCTTCAAGTATTTGCTCACTGTTTGGTCAACCCCTTAACTGTCCAAACGTAGATTTACGTTTGGACAGTTAAGGGGTTAAATTGCCAGATGTTCACTCCCTGATGAGGTTATAACACTTCACAGTAAAGTAACAACTATCCAAACTTTTCCAGCTCCACAAACTTCTGATGCCGTAATATCATCTGTTGGTTTATCAGGATTTTACAGATCTCGTTCCCAACTTTTCTTCCATTTCGCCGCCATTAACAGAATTGCTGTTACAGTGATGCCCCATTTACTGAGAATTTAAGATAAGATTTGTTCGGATTTTTACCCCAGGGTAAGAAGGGTTAACCACCCAGGATAACCCAGGGTAAGGAGGGTTAGCCACCCAGAATATCCCAGTAAGATCAAAGCGTCATCAAGGACTGGCTGTCTTATTTCCATTGGAGTCCTTCATTCCCCCCCAGGATGCGACCCACGCCAGTCCATTAATTCCCAGGTACCTACTTACTGCAATGTGAACAAGAACAGCAGGTGTAAGGAAACATACCCAACTTTTCCTCCCGTGCCATGGACTGAACTACGGACACTCCGTGTGTGAGTGTGCCGCTGGAGCTTGTGCAAATGGTGCTGTCCAGGAATGACAAAGAAATACCAGATAAAACCCACTTGCATTTCCCAGTCGAGTCCCAACAAAAGCTGAACATAATTACATAGTTATCCAGCAGGAAGCATTAACTCTTGTCTGGGTTTTGAAACAGTTCCATGATATTTACCACTGTCTTGACAAACTTACACCACTGAGTACATTGTCTTGACAAACTTACACCACTGAGTACATTGTCTTGACAAACTTACACCACTGAGTACATTGTTGCATAACAATCAACAAATTGCACATCCATTAAGATGTTTCCTGACCATTTAGGAGTTCAAGTCTTCCGTTGCACACTTGTTGACAAGTTGAATGTGGTTACTGATGACCCGTCCTGCCATATTGCTGCAAAAGACATTCCTTCTCCCTTTAGTAAAGTAAAATAAAGGTTTATTTCTTTGTAATTATAGCTTTGGTTTGTTAAGTAGAAAGAACATGTAGTA